GCAAGTAATAAGATACTGGTGTTTGGGAAACAGCTAGAATTGGACATCAATGAAGAGGGTGTTCCTGGGATTGCCAGCGTCAAGACCGAGGAGATTTCAGGTCAGGAGCTGATTGAATTGCAGGGAGAAAGAAGTAAAAAAGTTGGAGTGGAGGAAGAGCTGGTACCCAAGCCCCTGCAAAAGTTCACAGCAGAGAAGCTGGCAGAGGCATTTGCTGCTATCAGCAGGGGCATGAGGATGTTAGAAGAAATGGACGGCAATTACGAGAGATTTTCCAGAGCCGACAGGCAGATACAGGATGCCCTCGTTTGTTACAGAGAAATATATAATGAAAAGAGAAAGCAAGCCGCGTGTTCCGAGCTCCATCACACCGTAAGAAGCACTGTGCCTGCTGGGTCGTCAGCTCACGTCGGGGCTCCCCACGCCTTCCACCAGCTCTTCGGGGTCTCTGCAGAAGGGAGGCAGATTGACAGAGGAACTGTCGCATCCACGTCACGCAGCAGTAAATTTTAAGTCCAGCGCTTCAGCATTCCTCAGGCCAAGCGTGTTTTCAGCTGTGTGCGTTGATGGTGAGTGCCCATGCAGCCATCCTTTCGCTCACGTGTAGTGTTTGATAAATTACAAGTGATAGTCAGCCCCTCTTGGTGAGTAGGCTTGGCGTCAGATGATCCTGCTCAGCCGTAGGCTAGTGGAGATTTTTCTAGCACACGTAAGGTAGGTAGGCTGGGACCTGACGTTCGGAGGACCGGGTGTATTGATGCATTTTCAGCTTACATAGTAGGTGCACCCGAATGTCACCCCACCGTGGAAGAGCTTCAGTGCCACTATTCTGGTTGGCGTCATGAAATCTCATTGTAATTTTAATTTGCATTTCCTAATGGTGCTGGGTGGATTGTCATTGCTTAGTTAGCTATTCCTGTGTCTTGGGTAAAGTATCAGTTCAGATTTTTTGTCCCCTTTTTTCCCCACAAATTGGATTATTTGTTGTCTTTCTTATTTACCACTGTTGGTATTAAATACCAGACACTCACAGGTTGCAGAAGAAGGGGTTTATTGTAATGTTCAGTTTGTAGAGATCTCAGTCCATAGCTGGCTGACTCCCAGGCAGGGTGGCATAGCAGGGGGCATCACAGAGGAGACGTGGTTCATGGCATGGCAGGCAGGAAGCCACAGCTCTCAAGCGACTAACAGGGACATAAATACAATTCCTATTATAGCTCTATATCTATATTTATATGCCATGCCCACGGTAAGCCACCTCTGCTGCAGACCGTTTGTTTGTTTGTTTGTTTGTTTGTTTGAGACAGGGTCTTGCTATGCAGTTCAGGCTGGCCTTGAACTCACTGTGTAGCCCAGGCTGGGCTCAAACTCACAGTGATTCTCCTGCCTCTGCCTCCTGCGTACTGGGACAACAGGTGTGTGCCGCCACTGCTGGCAGTACCAGGCCTCACCTCTCAGCCCCACACCCAGCTATAAACTCACCTGTGGCCTGACCCAGTACCACATACTCATGATCCACTCACCTCCCCAGAGTCCCCCCCCCCACCCCCCGTGGGCACATGTCATTTTGGGGGGATGTAAGCCATAACATTTGTCTTACTGAATTGTGAGCATTCTTTGTATATTTTAGATTAAAGTGTACACCTTGGGCACGTATATGTGACTTGCTGATATCTTCTAGTCCAGTGGTGGCGAATCTATAGCATGGGTGTTACTACAAAAGATGTTAGTGTATGAAGTGTTTTTTGTAAACTAAAACCTCAGATTTCAGGTTTAATCACAGTGTTTGCACTTTGTGATACATAAGTGGGTTTTGGGTTGCAGTCTGGGCACCAGCCTAAAAGGTTTGCCATCACTGTTCCAGTCTGTGCTTGCCTGCTTTGTTGATATTTATTTTAATACATTTTAGTTTCTGGGACGGTGCAAAACTGAGCAGACAGCAGAGCGATCCTGTGCTCCCTCCCCTGCCCGTGCACGGCTCTCAGAGTCCCGGCCCAGAGTGGAACGTGTGTGACGGCTGGTGATACTGGCTTGTCGTTATCACAAAACGTGACCTCTGGTCTCCTCAGTGGGGCTTTTGTTTGCACTGGAACTCGATCAGAACCTTGTGCTTGCCAGGCAGTGCTGTGCCGCTGAGCTGGATCCTGGGCCCTCAGAGGTGTTTTTGAAGTGCAAAAAATTTTAATTTTGGTGAGGTACCAGTGTTTAAAAAATTCTAGCCAGGTGTTATGGCTCATGCCTGTAAGGAGTAAGGGTGGACGACTGCCGTGAGTTCGAGGCCAGCCTGAACCACAAAGCGACACTCTGCCTCAAAAATAAATTTTTGTAGATCGTGCTTTTGATATGCTTAAGAACTCTTTGGCTGAGGTTGAGACTTTTTCCTACACTTTTTTCCATTCATCCTTCCATCCTTTCTTCTTCCCTCTTTTTAGAGTTATAGTAAAATACACATAACGTGAAATTTATCACAGTAGCCATTTTCAGTGCACACGGTATTGGAATTGAGTACTTTCATAATATTGTGCTTTCGTCACTGTTTGACTTTGGTGGTTGTTTTTTGTTTGTTTTTGTTTTTTGAGACAGGATCTCACTATGTAGTTTAATCTGACCTTGAACTTAATAGCTAACTCTTTATGATCCTCTCAAGTGCTGGGATTGCAGGTGTGTGCTACCATGCCTGGCTTTCAAAAAAAACTTTTTTAAAAAACCCGTATATTTAAAGAATTCTCTCTGTGTCTCTATATCTGTTTCTGTCTCTGTCTATCTCTGTCTCTGTATCTGTGCCTGTCTATCTCTGTCTCTATCTCTCTGTCTTTTATCTCTGTCTCTGTCATAAAGTTACTTAATTCTACAGAGCCGGGGATGAACCCAGGCCTCACCTGTGCTAGGCGAGCCCTCTGCTGTTAAGCTGCGTCCTTAGCTCCCACCCCTGCTTCCGGTGTCTTGTAAGCCCGAAGCTCTGCCCTTACACAGCACTTCTTACTCTCCCCCTCCAGCTCTTGTCAGCCATCATCCCGCTTTGTGTGTCTGTGATTTTGACAGCTCTGAGTACTGTGCCTCATATGAATGGCATTATACAGCATTTGTCTTGTTGTGATTGGCTTACTGCATTCAGCATAATGACTTCACAGTTACCCGTGTTGTAGCATATGTTAGATTTCTGTTCCTTCTTGTTTTTGGTACCGCGGATCAAACTCACGACCTTGCGCCTGCCAGGCGGGTTCCCATCCTTTCTGAGGCTTACTATTTTGAAATTAATTTGTTTGCAAGGGCTGGTTGTAACTCAAGCTGGTTGTAAGTCAAGACTGTTTTCCCATAAGAAATATTGAAAATATCCATAACATGTTCCAAACCTCCTGAAGCACCCGTTAATTAACCTTTTCACAATAAAAAGGGTTGGATAATGTGTGTGATTCCCCAGAAACACCAATAATCTTGCTAGTGTACTCACCAGGAGGTTGTAAATGTGGCTGGCTTGCCGGGAACAGCAGTTGTGTGCTGGCTCACCGGCCGGGGGACACGTCTGGCTGCGGGCAGGGAGGATGCAGGGACCCCTTCCGCAGGAGCCTCTGGACTCTGCTGTGCTTTCTTTCCTGGAGAGGCTCTGGCCCCAGGACCTGCTGCTGGCTCAGCCTTTTCAGAACTGCAAACCGGCCGAGGCTCGTCTGTCTCTGTCTCTTCTTTAACACCGTTCTGTCGTGTGACATGACGGTGTCATTCAGCAGGCGGTAGGCGGCCAGACCTAACTGTAACTCAGTTAGGTCTAACTGTAACCTAACTGTAACCTGTAACCTGTAACTCAGACCTAAAATTGTGGCTGTGACCCAAGTTCCCAAGCTGATCGTGTGTGAGGCCGGTGGCAACTCGGGCGTCTCCTGGGCCACAGGAGCATGCTTCCCCATTCTTCTGGGTGTGGGTCTTGGGTGGCCTGTCTTCGCTGTTGGGAGTGAGGTACTGTGGATGTGGGTCTTCACAGTCTTCAAGAGCCGCCTTCAGTGCCATGGGAATCTGTCCTTAGGTTTTGACTAATCGCTGTACTACTTTCCACAGTAGCTGAACTAGAATCAGCAGTAGGATAAACACTGACCACTGTCCATTACCACCGACAGGGCAGAAGGGCCCCAATTTTCCCATATTTTGTCCAACACTTGGTTCTCCCCCGCCCTTCTCTCTCTCTGTCTTTGCTAATGGCTACCTTTATGGGTAGAGGTAGTTACTGTGTTTCCTTTTTGGGAATTTTTAAAAGATTTAAGCAGTTAGTTGATTCTTTCAGTAGTTTTTTTCTCACTTAGAATAGTTTTTTAACATTTTTTTAAGGAATAGCCGAATAACACTATGTAACGTAGCACACACCTGAACACAGCCTTGTCCTTTGGCTGGTTGCTACTTTCCTCCTTTGTGAATGAAACAGTTGTACTTCTTTTTCAAGCCTTTAAGCCCTGTTTCCAATGTAATACTTCATAGCTGTGTCTGCTAAATTTAAAAAAAAACAAGTTGCACACCTGCTTCTTTTTCACTGTACTGTTTCGGGTTTCTCAGCCAAATGGTAAAAAGAAATCATTTGGTATTAATTCACACTAATGCGACACTGGTTGATACCCCCAGAGGAGTATACATTTTAAAAGAATGCATGCATTTCTCGTAATTGGTAGACTCTCATCTGAACAGAGTGAGTGGCGGTGGGTCTGGGGAAAGTGAGGAGGTGTTGGGCGCCAGGCCTGTTGGTGCAGGCAGGCCGCTTCTCCAGGGGGTGCTGTACTGAGGGCTCGCCTCTCCCTCCTCCTGGATTGGCAGGCTCAGTGAAGACTGCTAGGCTGCCAAGTTACTGGATAAGGATAAGGAAGCGGAAGCCCAAGTTTAGTAATTTCCCGAAGGTTCCACAGCTGGTTAATGGTTAACATTCTCTTCTGTGAAGGGTCATTGCAAGTTCTCATGAAAACTGTTTTTGATGGCATCCGCCAGTGTCTTCACGTGAATTCAACATGTCGTTGTGTTCGCAGGTTGCACGCTGTGACCCGTCACCTCCTGAAGATGCATCCTGACTTATCTCCACACCTGCACACGGAAGAATGCAACGTCTTGATTAATTTGCTTAAGGAATGTCACAAAAATGTAAGAGTTCACAAAAATGACCGTAAAGCACGGGTGAAACCTAGGTACACTGATGTTACATGTCGTCCTCATTAACGGAGGGCGTGACAGTGTCTGAGCTTAATAAAGATTAGCAACTGCTGTATGTGTTCTTTTTACCCAGAAGCCACCTCTTTTACGATTGGTGAAAGCCAAGCACGATTGCTAGGGAACTCTGAAGTGTAAATACTAGTTGGAGTCCGTGTTCTCGCGGTAAAATGCTTTCTTCTTCCTAACGGTAGGGTGCTCAAACCGTTATGTTTAACATTGATTCTTCTGATCATGATGGTGTTATTTTTTTTTTTTTTTTTTTTTTTAAATTTTATTTAAGGAGAAAAGAAAAAAAAAAGCAGGGAAAGGGTACAAGTTATACAGATTTACAGAAAAAAAAATGAACAGTAGGAAATCACTAGTTAATGGATTACATATTGTCATCTTAGAAATAATTGTTCAAGTCACAAAATTAAAGCTTGTAAAGTGGACATTCCATCAATGATACTGCAAACAGTTCTGTTCATTGATCCAATAAAACTCTGTGATATCATTTTCTATCTTATACACTTAAATATACATGCAGTTATATAGTTTGGAGCACTTTCTTTTCCTCTCTTTTGTACAATGACTATTACACATTTTGGGTTTCATTGCTCCCACGGTTCTTATTACTTTTTTGGAAGAGAGTAAAACCAAATGTGACATAACAGAACAGAATCGGTCAAGTCAAAAGGGTGGACATAATAGATAATATAAAAACATAATACAAGGTGATCAACAATGGTTACCATAATGCCTCCCGCTATCTCTAATAGAATTGCCTATATCGTTAGTTATAATACAATTGAACAAAACAGTAAAGAATAAAACCGACAAAACCAAAACATTGGAGACATTGTAGGTCTTCAAAAGTAGATAAAAGTCAACAAGAATGGGCGTCATAATGAATCTCATTATCTTCACAGCTGATGCCTAAACTTTCGAACCTGATACTATCCAGCAAAACAGAATAGGGGAACATCAGTTAAAAACCAGATGGTGAGAGTAATACAGGGCTTTAAATCAAGGTAATGAAAAGTCAAAGTGGGTTACTATAATATATCCTGCTATTTTTTCCCTTTAATTAAAAGGATAAAGATAAAAAAGTAAATAATGGAGTGGAGATTGAGATAAAAGAGGGCATAACAACGAAACAGCGCAGATCAAAACATAACCATTTAAGCAGAATAGTGTTTCACCACCAGATAATCCTAACCTAAAAGTAGTTACCATATTGTCTCTTTCTTTGAAATCCTTGAGTACAACTTTGTATACTGTAGCATTAAGTATATCAAAACAATGTAAAACCATTCAAGAGAATGACAGCATTACAGAGTATTTAGAATCGACTAACAGAAAATGAATAATGGTTTCTGTATAATCTCCTTGTCTTTACAAGGTTTTTGCTTATACTATCATACATAATAAAATCCAGTAAGATACAACCTATTTAGACCATTGGAGACAGAAGGACAAAAGCTAGATGAGACTTCAAAACAAGATGATACGAAATCAGTATTACCTATTAAGATGTCATTTTCTCCAAAATAGCTGTTCCTATCATCCAATCTTCTCTGCCTCATTTCTGTTAAGCTCTTTTTCTGTCAGTAGCTGTCAGTTTGTCTTCTTCATTTTGTTCTCTGCTCCATTTGTTGTGGCCTCCCCGCCACTATTTCTGGGTTCTTTGTATTTTTCTTTTTTTAGAATATCCTGCAATACTTTCTGTAGAGTTGAATTGGTGGTTGCAAATTCCCCCAGTTCCTCTTTATCCTGGAAGCACCTTGTTTTTCCATCAATTTCCAGGGACAGTTGTGCAGGATATCTCAATCTTGGCTGGAGATTATTATCTTTCAATGCTTGAATTATTTCCCCCCACGCTCTTCGTGATTTGATGGTTTGTGCCGAGAAATCTGCTGTAATTCTGATGGGTGTTCCCTTGTAAGTGGTCTGTTTCTTGTCTCTTACAGCTTTTAATATTCTGTTCTTGTATTGAATTTCTGGAATTTTGATTATTATATGCCTGGGTGTTGCTCTGTTTGGGTTGTAGGTAGCTGGGGTCCTGTATGCCTCATACATCTGAGTATCTTTACCTTTTGCTAAATTAGGAAAATTCTCCTGGATTATTTCTGTGAGTAGCTTTTGTAGTTCACTTGTTTGTGTCCCTACTTCTTCTTTTATGTTCTTAATCCTTAAGTTATGGCTCCTCTTATCATCTTCTTGTCTTTGTATTATTGCTGTTTGTTTCTTTGTTATTTTTAAGAAGTTTTTCATTTCATTCTCCCATATTACAAGTCTGCCCTCCAGTTCAGATAGTCTGTCCTTAGTTTCTTTCAAGCTGTTATGCCAGTCTTCTATAGACTTCTTAGTATCTTGGTAATCCCTTTGAACATGCTTCACGTATTCTATGCTTTCTCTGTTTTCTCCATCAAACAATTCTCCCCTTTTTTTCTGTTCTTCCATTCCACCGCCTGTTTTTTCTTGGGTGGTACTTAGCATTTCTCTAACTATTCTGCATACTTCTAGCTTCAGGTCGTTGATAACTTCATTCCTGAATTGGTCTATGAGGCTCTCTATATGGTGCCTTATGTATATTGGTGCGGTGTCTGCTATTGCCTGTTTCTCAGAATTGGGGGCCGAGGAGCCTTTCTTGTTGCTGCCTCTTCCCATGCTGCCTCTTCTTCTCTGTTCCTTATATATGCAAGCTTATATAAGAGGCCCAGCTTCTCTCCCAGTCAGCTACAGCCTGATCGAATTGCGCCAGTTAGGTGTTCCCGCTCACCGCTGCGCACCAGGGAGTTACGGACCAGGCAGCCTACGCGTCTCCCCTCCCGGCCACCGTCAGGCTCTGGGATCTGGGTTGGGACAGCCTACTGGGTCCGCCGGCAGCGTCACGCAGGCCAGGCACTTTTCACCAATCCCGCCCGAGATGGGGATGTGTGGCTGGAGTCGCCACCGCGCCCTGCTCCCGCAGGACTGCCCGAGCCCAGAAAGTCCTCCGCTGGAGTCAAACTGTGGTAGAGTGTCAGCTTCTCTCACTCACCTCACCACAAGTCAGTGCACGCCTCCCTGCCGTTCACAGATTGCCGTTCTCAGAGCTTCTGCGTGTCTCTCTCCCTGCCGAGCCACTGTAGAGGCAGCCAGCCACCGCGCGGCGGGAAACTCAAATCCCGGCTTACAATGGCGCGGTTCCAGCCTCCACACCGAGGCTTTTCTGTTCCTGTTTTAGCACCAGGAATGCATTCCAAGTTGGTTTCTCTCAGCCCAGTTCATTTCTGAGTCAGCAGAGCATATCTCCACCTGCTTATGTCTCCTTAGTCCGCACCATTCCTGGCTTCTGAGCCGAGTCTTTCAGAGAGCCTCCGGTAGTTGCTGTTATCTGTCCGCCATGTTCTCCCGGAAGTTTCATGATGGTGTTATTTTAAGATTTTCTTCTCTTTGATAGCTACCATTCTGGTAATGGTAATTGAAATGTTTTATATAATTATATGTTCCCTAGATTTAATTTATGATTAGACTAATCTGATGGATTTACCTGATTGCTGTTTGAATGGAAGCAGAATTCCACAGTTAAAATTTAAAAAACCCATATTTGGAATGAATTAAATTAAGCTGGTATTTTTGTAATGTTCAATATTAGCTGTTTGAAAACATTTCACTCATGGCGCAGTTGTTATAAGCATTTGTGTTTTACTTTAGCTTTTCTTCTCCCACACTGGGGACTGAGTCCAGCACCTTCATACTGAGCTACATCTCTAGTCCCTTTAAATAGTTCTCTAATTTTAGAGCTGGGGGTGGTGGCATATGCCTGTCGCCCTGGCACCTGGAAGGCTAAGACAGGAGGAACGATGTTCCAGGCCAGTGGGGGTGATAGTGAGTCCAAAGTCAGCCTAAGCAACACAGAACGTCCTTGACTCAAAAACTGAGCCGTGGGGGCTGGGGATTAGCTCAGTGGCATAAGTGCCTGCCTTGCAAGCGTGCGGTTATGAGTTCGATTCCCAGGTACCGATTTAAAAAAAAAAAATTGAGCTGGGCAGCATGGTGTATTTCTATAATCCCAGCATTCAGGAGGCTGAGGCAGGAGGAGCATTGCAAGTTTGGAACCATCCTGGGCTACAAAGTGAGCCCAAGGCCAGCCTGAACTGCACAGCGGGACCCTGACTCAAAAGGACAAAAAAAAATGTTTTGTTTTGTTTTAAATTTTAAGACAAGGTCTTGCTAAGTTCCCCAGACTGGACTCAGGCTTTCCATTCTCCTGCTTCAGCCTCCCAGAGTGCTGGTGTGATGGTCATGCACAATCATGCCCAGTTACTGTCACTTTCGTGGTACATTAGTTATTTTTCCTAATGATACTCCAAATGTGGATATATAAACTTTAAGAATAGTAAGTTCCAGTTAAATCAGTAAAGTCCAAATACCGAGAGTAACATGAATGATACTTATAACCTAACGTCAGACATTTTTACTCGCTCAGAGAATGTTGTCCAAAAGTTGTTCACAGGAGTTGACAGCTCTGTATTTCAGACGAACCGTCTTGGTCATACATTGAGATCGAGGGCTGGGGGCCGCTGCACACTGACTCGACTGAGCAGTGGCCAGGCCGTGGAGGTGAATCAACAGCTCCAGATTTTTCCGAGTAAAGATAAGAAGTGCTTCCCTCTTAAAGGGTGGAAACCGACCGTGCTGACGTAGCAGGATTTCAACTCTGTGTAGTAAGTTTTAGGCAGAGACAGGAGAGGAGACAGGAGTCAGCCAAGCAGAGGCACGCTGGAGAGGGAGGGGCTCTGTTGCCTTTGCAAGAGTGTTGTGTTTTTCACAGCACAGATATAAATAAGGATATCATTTATATGTCTTCAGGGTTATTTCCTAGGTTAATCAAGTGGAAGGCCACAGTTTTTTAAATGAGAGCGCTGGCTTGTTTTTGTTTTTGGTACTGGAAGTTGAACCCAAGG